AAATTTTCCTGGAGGAACTAAAAATGTCATATAATAGTGATATTTGTGTACCTATGTTTATAGCTCCATGATTTGTGTTAGCCAAAACTTGGACACAACCAAGATGCCCTTCACATGAAGAAAGGCTGAAAAAGATGTGATATTTTTATACAATGGAGTATTACTCAGCTATAAAGAATGATAAACTTGAAGCATTTGTATTTAAGTGGGTGCCAGTTGAAGATGTACTCATAGTGAAGTAAACCAGACCCACATGTGTAAATAGTGTATAGTCTCCCTAGTATAAGAACTCAAATGAAGAAATACAAGTAGAAAAGTATAACACAATTAAAAGGAAAGTGAGTATTTGAGGATTAAACAACAAAGAGAGGGCAAGGAGAAAAACTGGGAAACTTGACAAGGGCAAAGCCGTACATTTATACACACAAGTTGGGTAAGGCAATGATCTTATGAAACACGAGCAGGTTTTTGAAACTAGCAGTTGTTGGTTGGATTCTCACCCTGACTAACTATATATGCTGATACCTCTGAACCAAGCAACTGCACTGAAGATAGCAATGTGCAACAGAAGGTTCACTCTTGGAATTCCTGTCATTCGAGTCTTCTAAATACGTACTTCTTGTCACTTCATACCAATTATTACCATACTGTCTCTCAAGCAAATGTTTGTATTTTTATGTTTTAAAAAGGTAAAAAGTGAAAAAAGACATAAGAAAAAAATGTCACAGGACTATTCTGCTAAAATGTTGTATATGGTTAAATTTCTAAATTTCTGTGTAAAAATATGTAATTGTTTATTCACGTTCTTTAACTATTTTTCATTTTCTTAAATTTTTATCTCTATATTCTGTAGGTACTTAAAGTTTAGCATATCAGTACTTAATGGGAAATATCTCTTCCATGTTATGCCTAAGATTTTTGATATTCAGACAGATAGTGAGATTAAACCCAACTGCATATATTGTAGGGTAATAATAAACTTCTCTTCTGGAGGGATAACAACCTAAGTTGCAGACCAAAAATTAGAGAAATAAGAGGGCTGCAAAGACAGCCAACATTTTGACCCTAGCCTTTCAAGGTCAGTGAAGACTCAGGACCTAGGGGAACCTATACTGTAAAATCATGTAACTAAATTTTATCCCAAATTCTCTGATCAAGGAGATAATGGGGCTGCAGAACAATGTGATCAATGATGCAGAGTGTGCCTAAGGAGAGTCATATGGAGAGAAAACATTCTGTCAAGCTTTCTCAGAGCATAAATTGGTCAGGCAATGGCTGTGACATCCACATGGCTGACACTGACAAAGAATCTGAAAACTGTGGTACAGGTTTACAAGATAAATCCTGAGGGTACTTGACAGACCTTGTCATATACAAAAGTTACATTTCTTGTTATATAGGTCTGGCTTCATCTTGGTCTTAACAATCCAGCAGAAAAGTGTAAAAATGAGGTACAAAAAGTAAAGCCATATTAATATGCTGAGCTGTGAAAGGCTCAAGTCAACAACTTCTGTGGATAACCCACTACTACTGTGGACAGCTGGACTGTGTTGGATTGTTTTGCTGAATTCCCACACCTATAGTATTTGGATGCTAGTAGAGTTCCCATCTCTGACAGGACTGGGGAGGGAAAGAGGATGAAGAGCAGGGCATTTTGTATCTGTATGCATGGAATGGTTGGGATGGATGTACAGATGCTTTTGCTTGGTTCAGTGAAAAGAAAGATTTGTACTAATAGTGTTTGGACAGGATAACCTGTCTGCATCTTGTACTATGGATAACCACTAAGAAGATAGCAATGTACAACTTATTAATTATTGAAACTCTTCTCTTAAGCAGTTTTGAAACTGTCTCATAGCTATTTGTTTCTCAATAAAAAAGATCAGACTTACAGACATTCCAAATATGACCCTAAAAAAGAAACAAAAACCGAAAATAAACACACACATATGACCCTAGTATTGCACATTGCTATTTTCAGTGCAGTTGCCTAGTTCACAAGTATCAGCATATATAGTCAGTCAGGGTGAGAATCCTACCAATTAACTGCTAGTTTCAAGAACCTGCTGAAGATTCTCAGGATCATTGCCGTACCTGTCTTATACATACTAATGTATAGCTTGCCCCTGTCATGTTTCCTAACTTTTCTCCTTGCCCTCTCTTCCTTGTTTAATCCTTAAGTTCTCACTTTTTCCTTTTGCATTATAATTTTCTATTTTTATTTCTTCTGTTGAGTTCTTATACTAGAGAGACTATATGATATTTACACTTGTAGGTCTGGTTTATTTTATTTATGAGTATATTTTCAAGTGGTATCCACTTCAATATAAAGGATTCAAGTTTATAATTCTTTATAACTGAGTAATATTCCATTACATAAAAATACCACACCTTTTGTTTTTCATAATTTTATTGAGAAACAAATATTAATAAGACAATTTCACAACTGATTACTGGCATATTTTCAATAATTAATAGATTGCATATTGATGTCTTAGTAGTTATTCATTGTACAACATGCAGACATGATATTCTGTATCAAATGCTATTATAACAGTCCTCTCCATTCAATGAGTTAAGAGAATGGAGCTAGATATCTATCTTAACTATCTTGAGTATACAAATATAAAAGGGTTGTTCATTTCTATCCCACTTTTTTGGTTAGCTTTGTCAGAGAAGAGCATTCCATTGTCATTTAAATATTGCAGGTGCTTGAATTCAGCAGAATCTCCCAATATAGTCCAGTAGTCCATCATAGTTGTGGGTTTTCCATAAGACTGGCAGTGTCCAAAGTTGTTGACTTGAGCTTTTTACAGCTCAGCATATTAATGTGGCTTTAATTTTTATACTTCTTTTCCAGACCAAAAAACAGAGAGGTGGTAGCTTGGGACCCTGAGTGGGATACAGAAGCTGCTTTCTGAAGGGTAAGTGTATGTAACCCTCTCTGGGGTTCCCAGCAAGAACACTTATTGGTTTCCTCAGTGCCATGTGGTGCTGGTGTCCTCAGAAGACAGGTCACAAAGCTATATGGTGTGTTCTGCTTCATAGCTAGCATCAAGAGCTTCAACTTCTGTATTGTTCTCTGACACGTCTTCTGGGATCTCAGCTATGCCAAGCTCACCAATGGTCCTTCCTGTGTAGATATTCTCAAAGTGATTCTGCTCCACTGAATTGATGCCAATGGTTTCTGGGTTCCTGTTCATTTTTGTTCTACAATTGTTAAGATTGTAGTATGTAATGAAGGCTGCTGTCTCCCACTCAACTGCCCTAATTAAGAGGGACTCTTAACTTTTATTGTAAAACTTTCAGCAATACATAAAACTTTAAGGAATATTGAAATTTTTATTTTAGAGAAGTACAGCTACAAAAGTAATCATGTAAAATTTAACAATTCAGTGCCATGTAGTACATTCAAAATGTATGTAATTACTGCCTCTGTCTAGTTTCAAAGCACTTTAGTCATCTCAAAGGAAACCTCTTAATCTTCAATCAGGTATCTCCCATCCCTCCTCCACAGTTCCTGTTCTAGGTTTATAAAGAATAAATGGTTCTCTTAGTTACAAAAGCATTAAAACCAATACGCAAGCAAACATATATACACATATGTTCACAGCAGTATCATGCACAACAGCTAGAAATGGAAAGTACCAAAATGTTCCACTTTGGCCATCACAATCATTTTGCTACCCTGAAAAAATTAAGCATAAGTGCTCAAGCAAATACGTGGACACAGCAGTATTTTATTTTGGTACTATTCATATAATGGGCATATATGGGGTATCCCAGCTCTGGGGGGAGGAATTATTATAGTTCAGTACCCAAGATAAAATTTGGTATGTTTGTGGAATGTCAAGTTGTAGCAAAAATTGTGTTAATATAGTACAAATAATTTTATAACTCTATATTCATATTTATAGCCCCAGAATCTTCCCAACATAGTCATTAATGATTCCCACACTCTCAGAACAATGAGATAAAATGAAACCATGCAAGTATCTTTCACCACCTATGCCAAGCAAGCTGCAGTGTCCAAGTTTTGTCTCAAGTCCCTCTTTTCCTAATAATCTTTAATAACTAAATTGCAGTTGCAACTGTAATTGGTTTCTTCCATTAGACAACCCACCACTTTCTATGGAGCATGTTCATATTGTGCTTGTCTCAATTAGTATCTAGACCATCATTTCACTTTAGTCCTGAAAATGACACCTGAATGTGACCATACCCAAATCTCTCACTCCACTAGAGAATTGCTCACAGATATCCATTAGAAGAGACTTTATGGGCATAATTAGTTTTATTTCTGCCTCAGGTTTAATTTTTCTCAATTTCTTAAACCTTTCATAGCATGTGAGGAAATCATAAATATTCAGCTTCTTCCAAAACTCATTCCTTCCCTATGCTTCTTCAGGCTCTGTCCAGTATGGCAGAAAAGTGAACCCTCTGAGACTGTCAGTTTTACCGGGAGACTTTTTATGCTTCCATCAAAGTGGGGTTGAATTGCAAAAATGTGTATTTATAATCATATGTGTAACATTTAAAACAATTGCACTGAATCATTGTAAGAAATGCATTGACACCCCTAAAATCCAATGTGCTGACACGTTATCTCTGCCTTTGTATCACCCGGATATTCTCAGTGCATGTTTTCCACTCCATGCACTTATTACAAGTACATACTTGAACCACAAGACTTTTGCTTTTAGAATTCAACATATTAAACAAAAACATGTATACTAGACTCTTCATTAAATATGTTGAATTTTGTTAATTTCAAATTGATGAAAATATTCAGGGGGATATTTTCATCACACGGAGAAAGCTATTGAGCTTTCAGATTAGGTTATTGGATAGTAAAATTTTAATATTAGACACTATTCTAAGCATAAACAAATAGAACCTAAAAAACTGACATCATTTGAAAGCTAAGTAGATGACTAGAAATGCAAAAGAATTGAATTAGGTGGAGGGCAAATTGTACTCTCCATTAAAAGGCTGTGACTCTATTTCTGCAACTTCACCCTGGACAGAGCATCCCTCAGTGCCCTGTGCACCTGTTTGTTGCGGAGGGTGTAGATGACAGGGTTCAGTAGTGGAGTCATCACTGTGTTCACCAGAGCAGCCTCTCGGTTGGAGTCCAGCCTGCTCCTTTGCTTTGGTTTCACATAAATGAAGACGCAGCTGCCATACATCAGAGAAAGGACAACAAGGTGAGAGGAGCAGGTAGAGAAGGCTTTCTGCCGCTCCTTGGCTGATGGAAGGTGTACAATTGTAATCACTATGTTGCTGTAGGCAATGACAGTCATAAGGAAGGATGTGAAAAGGAGAAAAAAGACCAGGTTGAAGAACAAGGTTTGAATAGATCTGTTTTCAGAACATGAAAGATTTGCCAATGGTCCAAAATCACAGAAGAAATGAGGGATGACATTGGGCCCACAGAAGCACAACTGGGACAACTTTACAACTGGAACCACCATAAGCACAAAACCCAAAAAAAAGCAGGCAGTGACCAGCAGGACACACATCTTTGGGTTCATGATAGTGGGATAGTGCAGAGGTTTGCAGATGGCCAAGTACCGATCCAGAGACAGCACAGCCAACAAGAAAAAAATAGTTGCACCTGAGAAAAGAAAAGCAAATGCTTGTGTGAAGCAGCCAGCAAAGGAAATTGTGTGCTTCCCCAGCAGAAAGATTGTCAGCAGTTTAGGAATAACCGTGGTGATGAAACTGCATTCACAGAAGGAGAAAGTGCTCAGAAAGAAGTACATAGGTGTGTGGAGGCGCCGGTCTGCCCAGGTGATCGTGATGATGAGTGAGTTTCCCATGACAGAGGCCAGGTAAGCCAGCAGGTGCAGCAGGAAGAGGACCTTCTCCAGGTGCTGGGCTGTAGGGAAGCCCTCCAGGATGAACTCCTGAACAGCCGTGTTGTTCCATGCTCCTGGATTTTCCATTTCTTTGGTCTATTGTCACTGAACTATATGGAAGGTTCCTGGCTGAAGAATACAGAACTTAATTTTATTAAACATGTAAAATAAGCTCAGTATTGCATTTGGGTTTGTAATTTTTTAAAAAAAATGTTTCATTAAAAAGAACTGGGCATGTAGCTAATATAACTTTAACAGTATTCATCATTTTCCTGTATTGCCAACTAAGAAAGATCCTTTAGTTTTATAGAAAGAAAAAATGTAACTTAGATTGTAGCAGGGGTTATAACAGAGTGATAGTGTGCTTCCCTAGTATGCACTAGGTCATGATTCAGTCCCAAGCACCACACATAGACACACACACACACACACACACACACACGCAAACATGCACACCATGCATGCACACACACACTATACTATGGTATTCTGTCATATCTCCAAAAATTATTCCATCATATCCTAAGTGTTCTTTTTCAAAAAATAGTTTTAGACTACACATTTATAGGTAGAAAAATTTTCTGTAGTTCTCAGTGCTCTGAAATGAATTGGAATAGTCAAAAATCAACTCTAATAGACTCATTAGAGAATCAGTCCATCTCATTCTGATCTATAGCTTGAGGTAGGTGAGTGTAAAAAAATGTGTTTCCATGCTAATTGGTTAGTTAACAAAGACATTTTGTCTTTAGAACCTTCAGTCCATAGGTTTAAGGATATTTGGTGTTAAGTATTAAGAGGGACTACATGCTAGGCCTCCAACAATATTTTTCTGATTCATCCTGACAACTATATTGTTTACCTACATAGAAAAAAATCCTCTTTCTCACCTTCAACCATAAAATTCTCTCATATGAGATTTTGCCATTTTGGTCGAAGTGTTTATCTTAGATCTCTGACCCTGCTATCTCACTGAGTGAAAACAAATGCTCCTGCATTTTGTGTGTGAGAGATAAGCTCAAAACAATCACAACAATGACCATTCTAGCCAGGATGTTCTAGGCATGCCAGAAAAGTGTGGCAAGGTAGTCTAGTCACTCTAGGGCCACAGCCCATTTGTAACAGGCTCAAATTACCCAGAGCTCTAGCTGCTACTCTTTCACACTTTCAATAAACCAAGATGGATTATGGTATATGCAGCTACCATGTAAATGTAAATATAAATGAACACTCACCTTTGAGATGTCCTTTATCTGAGTGAAGATTTCAACATGTGCAACTCATCTGCAACTTCTCCTTCAGTGAATTCAATTTCCATGTCTGGAATAAACCAAAGTGGAATCTTAGTGGAAATCTCACCTGTTGAAAATATATCTATCCTAACTATCTTATGTATACATATATATTTTTTCACTAAAAAATGGTTCTTTATTTATATCGCCCTTTTTGTTTTGTTTTATCAGAGATGGGTGTTTGTTTAGACAAGATATCATGTCTACATCTTGTCCTCTGAATAAGTACTATGAAGACAACAATATGCAATGTATTAATTATTGTAATTGTCCTACTAACCTGTTTTAAAACTCTTTCATTGCTATTTTATCTTTTTTCTCATTAAAATGAAAAAAAAATAAAAAAGAAAACAGAGAATAAACCAAGATGCATTATGGTATATGCAGCTAACATGTAAATGTAAATGTAAATTAACACTCACCTTTGAGATGTCCTTTATCTGAGTGATTTCAACATGTACAACTTATCTTCAAATGAATCATGGATTCATCTGCAAAGTTCCTTGGATCTCTGGAGAACTCGAAAGTGTGCTTATTTATAGTCCCAAACAGCTTTACTACTGTCCTTGTCTCTATATATCCCCATCCTGTTCCTGAACAAATAAGAGACCATTTACTGGGCAAAACCTCCAGAGAAAAATAAGAGATGATGATGACTGATGATGATGATGATGATGATGATGATGAAATCTCCTCACTTCAAATAGCCCATTATTTACCTATTGCTTTTCTAAGATGGGATAGGGTTCCAGACTGGCCATTCATCCAGCCCTCCAGACTGGAGGATATACACCAACAGGAGCATAAATGGAAGTGATAGAAATTTATTTGATGTATGTTTATGATTCAACTCTCTCTTGATACCCATCCAGATCCATCAGGGCTAAGGATAGCGTCAATGATGTCATTAGATTAAAGAAAGCCAACTAGAAAACAGTGTCCCTCTAGGTCACTAGTGGTTGCTAATTGAGCACCATTGGAAATAGAACATATTACTATTAATAGTAACAATAAATCATTATTTAGCATCATAATTACTCCTTTATTATATATAAAATTATAATAATGTGAACTCTTAAATGTCTGAACAATTCCCATGAAAATCTTTAAAAATGGAATGTATACAATCACCTCAGGGTTAGTAAGGTACTACAGTGCATTATGTTGCTGAAGAGATTTCAGAGGTCTGGTTGAGGCTGGGTAGCCTCTGGAGTGAATGAGGTAGAGTCCTCCCTCACTCTGTAAGAAAAATTCTAGAACATTCAAGAAAACATGTTTTAATAAAAGGCAAAGTCTCATAACATATTGCCTAAAATATCCAGTTTCAGTATAAAGTTAATCATTGCACCAAGAACCAAGACTATCAAACCTTGAATTTTCAAAGGCAATTAGTAAACAACAACAGCAAGATAACACAGATATTCAGTCCTAGCCCAGGTCCAGTGAGTGTGTGGAAAGCATCCTTCTACCCAGCACCGGTGGGACCAGTCCCAGCCCAGGTGCAGCATGGGCCGGACCCTCTCCCACCCCCTCGGGCCGCCCCCCCACCACGCTGCCATACCCCCCACCCCTCCCACCAAGTAGGAATTTCTGCCGACTTCCGGGAATCCCCAGAACCAGTCCTAGACCAGGTACGGTGAGTGTATGGAGAGCTTCCTGCTAACCTGCGCCGGCGGGACCAGTCCCAGCCAATGAAATCAGTTAATTGGAAAGATTCCCACCCTGACTGATACCTGTGAACTAAGCTACTGTACTGCAGATGGTAATTTGTAAGAGTAGTTTCATGTTTGGGGTGCCTGTCATTCTGGTATTCTGAATATGGGTGGCTTGTCATGACATGCCAGTTACTGCTATGATGTCTCTCAGGTAGGTGGATGTTCAAGAAGAAGGGGGTGGTGAATGAAAGCAAGAGACAGAAAAAGGAATATTGTGGGGCTGTCCTGCTTCAAGGTTGTATATGGTGAGA